GATTCCAATGTAATGGCATTGGTGAAATCAAACTTACATTTATCCTTGACCTCTAAGTGGAAAAAAAGAAACTGTTTATAACAAAACTTAAGTCGTTTTATAAATTTATTTATGAATTAGATTTTCCTCCCATTATTTGACAGTAAAATATTTTCATAGGAAATTAAAAAGTTTATGGTTAACAGACTGTGAGATGATAAAATGCCATTCTTAAATCACTTCTAACATGAGCTATGGAAAAGAATGGGCAGATGAACTGGCATGCTGAGCTATCTGGATTCTGATCTCTGATAAAAACAAGAGGGGTGATTTGTAAGAGAACAGAGTATTTTTCATGGCATCTTCCATCCCCTCAACAATTTCTTTTTAAAAATTCAGTATAAAAAAATGTAAAAAATGATAAATGTTAATAAAAAAATGAAAAAGAAAAAATAAAATAAACAAATTGACACCCTAAAAAAAAATTCAGTAGACATAAAATCAATCTATAAAAACTCATTTCAAAATATATTTAAATAAAGATTTATTTATTTTATACAAGAACTGGGGTACAGGCCAGATGTGTGGGTGGGTGAGAGGATTCACCAGAGACAGAGTGGGGAACAGAACAGGCAGACTGACGAAATACACTGCTGAGGGGAGCAGCGGGCGAGACAAGAGAGGTCTGCCGCACCATGTGGGACCCTCCCCGGCCGGCAGGGATGGAACCGGTGCTGCAGAGGCTGCAGATAGCTTCACAGCGCAGTGCTCAATGGCCTGCACCACCAGGGGAGGCCCAAATTTATTTTCTTTTCTCCAAATCATTATTTGTGAAACACAGGACATCACTACTAAAGTTTCTTCACATTAATTCATATTCCTTATTTTTTTTTTATAAACTTGGATCATTAACTCAAGATGTGGCATATATATACAATGTAATACTACTCAACAATAAAAAAACATAAACTCATTCAATTTTCAGAAAATAGATGAGTTGGAATGGCTTGTACTAAGTGAAATAAGCCAGAAGAAGAAAGATAAATACTGGAATATAGACCTCAAATAGCCAAACATCTGCTAAGTGAAACCAACTAATGGAGGAATCATAAAAGGGGGGAAAAGCAGGTATTGTATTTCCAGTTTTCAAACTGTACTATAAAGCCATAATAATTAAAACACCATGATACTGGAACAAAAACAAACATACAGGATAATGGAATAGAATTAACAGCCCAGAAATAAAACCACGCATTTATACAAAACTAATGTATGACAAAGGAGTGAAGCACCTACACTGGAATAAGGAAAGTCTCTTTAATAAATAGTGTTGGAAAATTTGGATTACCGCATGCAAAACAATGAAAGTAGGTCATGATCTCAAAACATACATGAAAATCAACTCAAAATGGACAAAAGGCTTGGGTGTAAGACCTGAAACCATAAAGTACATAGAAGAAAACATATGCAAAATAATCCCTGATATAAACTTCAGAAACATCTTTGCAGATTTCTCTCCACCAGCAAGGAAAACAAAGAAAGTAAACAATTGGGGCTACATCAAACAAAGAAGCTTCTGTACAGGGAAAGAGATGGTAACCAAAATGAAGAGACACCCTACACAGTGGGAGAATATATTTCCACACCATACATCAGACAAGGGACTAATATCGAAGTTCTACAGAGAATTCAGACAACTTAATAAAAAAGAAAAAAACAAGCAATCAAAAAAAGGGGTGATGAGCTAAATAGGCACTTCTTCAAAGAAGACAAGCAGATGGCCAATAGGCATATGAAAAAACGTTCATCATCTCTTATCCGGGAGATGCAACTCAAAACCACAATGAAATAGCACCTCTCACATGTGAGAATGGCCCATAGCCAAAAACCAGAAACAAGTGCCAGTGAGTGTATGAAGAAAAAGGTACCCTGTTACATTGTTGGTGGGAATGTAGACTGATCCGGGCACTATGGAAAGCAATGTGGAGGTTCCTCAAATGATTTGTTACATAACCCAGTAATTCAACTCCTAGGTATCTACCCAAAGAACACAGAAACACTAATACGAAAGGAAACCAGCACTCCCATGTTTACAGCAGCACTATTAATTATAACAAGACATGGAAACTACCTAAATGCCCCAGAACAGATGAGTGGATCAAGAAAATGTGGTACATATACACAACGGAACACTAGTCAGCAGTCATAAAGGAAACTGTTGCTGTCGTTTGCAGCAATATGGATGGAACTTGAAGGCATTAGTCTAAATGAAACAAGACAGAAAGAAAAAGATAAATATTGGATGTTTTCACTCATATGTGGAATATAAAGAAACCCAACAAAGGATTAGACAAACTTTAAAACTGACCCAAAAAAGCTGACCATAGATCTGAGGCATACAAAATGGGTGGAGGAAGGAGAGAGGAAGAATGGGAGAGGAGAAATAGGGGCGGGGGAGAACTATGGTAACCATACCTGAGAGGAGAAATCCTGTACTGTGAAAAAATTAACAAGATGTAAAATAATGGTAGTTCATTAAAATACATATAGACATACACACACATATTTTAAAAAAGTTGATATGTCAGAAAGAAAATAGAGAGAACAACGCATACAAAATCATCAGGTAATGTAAGTAATTAGTGACAAAGGAATCTGTTTTGAACACTACTATTATTTTGTTAAATGCATCAGGGATTCCACTGATACTTCTTCAAGTATAGCATCACTTTGTTATATTGACAGAAAAACAAGAGACTTCTTTATGGAAGCAGTATTGAATGAAAATTGGGTTTTTTAAGAATGAAAGGATTTTGAATAACTCTAAGGGAGTAAGAATGATGAAAGTCATTTTAATGAGATAAAATGTGTGAGAGAAGGCAGAAGATAAAATCTGAAAGAAGTTCTGGAGTAGTAGCAGATTGGGTTGAATATAGAGAAAAAAATGCATTTGGGAGTAAATAGGAATCACGATCACCAGGCAATGTTGGTTTCCCATTAGAGAGTTTTAAAGATTTGCAAGGGAATGCAGTATAGATAGGTGTCAAAATGTCATGTTGTGCACCCAAAATCTGTATTTTATAAACCAATGTTACTTCAATGAAAATTAAAAAAAAAAAATTCATATGGAATCACAAGTCAAAACAATCCTGGAAAAGAAAAAAATGTTGGAGGCTTCATATTTCCTGATTTCAAAACTTACTATCAAGTTATTGTAATTAAAAGAGTACGCAGTGACATATGGATAGATACACAGAACAATGGAATAGAACAAAGAACTCAAAAGCAAATCCTTGTACACACGGTCAATTAATATTGATGAGGATGGCAAAACTATCACAAGGACAGCACAGTCTTCAACAAATGGTACTGGGAAGAGATAACATACACATGCTAAAGGTTGAACTTGGACCCTTACTTTACACCATATACAAAAATGAACTAAAAAATGGATCAGAGATCTAAATGTAAGGTCTAAAGCTGTAAAACTCTTAGAAGAAAATACAGGGCTATTCATGACATTGGTCTTGGCAATTATTTATTGTAACACCACAAATACAGGCAATCTCAAAGGAAGTCTTTATTGAAATCAAATCTTTTGTGCTTTAAATGATACTATCAATAGAACTAGAGATAACCCTCAAAATGGGAAAAAATATTTTCAAATCCTACAGCTGAAGATGATTAATATTTAGAATATATTAAGAATTCCTACAACTGAAGAACAAAAAGGCAATCACACTAAAACATAGGCAAGGAATTTGAATAAGCATTTCTCCAAATAAGATATACGAATGGCCAAGAAACACACAAAATGATTTTAGTAATAATGTAAGTTACTATGGAAATACAGTGAGTTACCACTTCATGCCCCTTAGCATGGATATTACAAAACAAGAAAATGCCAGAAAACATGAGTATTGAAAATGTGAAGAAACTGGAACACTTTTGCAGTGCTGGTGGGAATGTTAAAATGGTACATCTGCTATAGCAAATGGACTAGCAGCTCCTCAAAAAGTTAAAAAAACTACAATATGATTTAGTAAAACCACTCCCAGGTACATATCTAAAAGAACTGAAAGCAGAAACTTATACAGATACTTGTACACTAATTTTCAAAGAAGCATTATTCCCAATGGCCAGAAAGTAGGAAACAATTCAAGTATTCATAAACATACAAGTGGATAAACAAAAAATGAAATCAAATAAAGTAGATACAAAATGACAAAAATCATATGATCTAGGGAAAGGGGAGGGATGAGAACAGGGTTGGGAGAACACATGGACTACAGGTGGGGGACCTTGGGTCTCTGGCAGTGGGTACACTACAGTGACCTGCAGGCGGAGAGCCTACACTTCCAAAATACTAACAAGGGTGTAAACCAATGGTAATTCAATAAAAAATTTTTAAAACATTTTATGATTTTACGTAATATGGAGTATGCCTAGAATAGACAAATTCACATGGACATAAAGGTATCTAGAGATTATCAGGATCTAGAGGAAGGGAGGAATGGAAGTTTTTATTCAGTGGGAATGGGTTTTCTATTGGGGTTGATAAAAAAGAATTCTGAAAATAGATAGTGGTGTTGTTATACACCATTGTACATGTATTAATTGCCAGAGAATTATACACATAAATATCTAAATGGTAAAATTTTTTATATATATTTCATCACCATAAAAGAAATAATCTGTTTGATGAATACCTAAATATGTCCCACTGCTGACAAAACCCATTTTGTTTAAGTATTAATATTAAATATACCGTGTGCACACAAGCACATAAACTGACCCTCTCTTGAAAAACAGATCCTGGTATGTTGTACATATCAGTTATTCTAAAACACACTTTTGATAGCTCCAAACAATTATAATTGCTCTCTAATTTGATTGCTGTTTCACCTATTTATCCATATCAAAATGAACAGTCAATAATTTAAAGAAGAATATCCACAAATTCTACTGATGGTCCAAACACAGTATGTTTATAGCCCAAGTGCTAAAGATGAACATCATACCTGATAGAGCATGATAGGTTCTATGTTGTATCCTAAAGTATCTGCAAAGTTCTTAGCAATGACTGTTTTTCCACAACCCTACAAATAGAAATACAATCATTCAAGGAATAAGTCAAAACAACCAAAAATTAAGAAACAAAATTTCGCAGTGATCCTGCCATTCTTACTTTTCCTCCGATTAAACATATGTCCTTAACCATGTGAGACTGCATCATTTCAGCCAGTAGTTGCTTATGGCTTAACGTCTGTATAAAACAGTCGGATGCACAAGGCTGATTTAATGGTCTGGTTCCAGCTGGCACCTATAAAGATAGGTAAATAAAATACATATATATTTTTCTCAAAATACTAGTATACGAAAGCACATAACTGTCATTTAAAGGCCCCCACTAATTCATTGTTCAATTTTACATTGTTTTAACTATTTCAGAACAGCACCTAATTTCTCATTCACAGATCTAAGATCATTATCATCAAACCTCAATATCCATCATTCTTTTAAAATTAAAGTAAAAAAAAAAAATTAAAGTTCCATGCTATATGCATTTGCATAATAATCATGCTATTTTCAAGCATATGATAACAATGTCATTACTTGAAAATGAAAGGTTTTTTGGGTCAAATTTCAATTTTAAGTACAGAATTTTTTAAAAGTTCACTGGGACTCTCCCAAATTACCAAGACCTCCTGATTTCTAAAATCTGTCCACAAATCCTTTTCCACTCTTATTTGAGTTTTCCACTTAGAAATATCTTTTTTTAAAAAAAAAAAAAGATTTATTTATTTATTTATACAAGCACTAGGTACAGTCAGAAGTGCGGGAGGGTGAGAGAATTCACCAGGTGCCATGTGGGACCCTCGCCGGCGGCCTGGGATCGAACCGGCGCCGCAGATGTGCGGGCAGCTTCGCAGCCCAGAGCTCAACCGCTGTGCCACCAGGAGAGGCCCAGAAATATCTTAAAGTATCTCCTACCATGCTTCATACCTACTTTTCCTTGTATTTCCTACCTCCTTATTAGTCTCCTGAGGGCCTTATCAGGAAAGGATTTCTGTACTTTCCTGAGAACTCTGGCCTTGATCACGCTTTATACTACAAGAACCTTAAAACATTAAGCTTAAAAGTGACAAGATTAAATCTGCATTAAGAAAGATCATCTGGGGGCCTCCCAGGTGGCACAGCGGTCGAGTGCTGGGTTGCGAAGCTGCCCACAGCCTCTGCAGCACTGGTTCGATTCCCGGCTGCTCCACGGCCACTGGAGGAGGGTCCCTCATGGCGCGCAGACCTCTCTTGTTGCCCACTGCTCCCCTCAGCAGTGTACTTCGGTCTTTCTGCCTACTCTGCTCCCCGCTCTGGCTCTGGTGAATTCTCTCACCCTCCCGTGCTTCTGACTGTACCCAGTGCTTGTATAAATAAATAAATAAATCTTTAAAAAAAATAAGAAAGAAAGAAAGAAAGGTCATCTGGTGGCAATATAGAAGCCTTACTGAAAGGAACTGTAAGCAATGAAGTTAGAAAGTCATTATCAAAGGGAGGCAAGTAACAAAAGTTTGCTCACACCTCATGCCTCTGGACATACTGGTTAAAGTGACAGAAATATGCATGCAACCTTCCATTGATGAGCCACTGGAAAACTATGTCACACTTTAAGACTTAGCTCAAGGCCCCCTCCTCTATGAAACTTTCTCTACTCCTTCTTCTGACTCCAAGCATTACTTTCTTTTCTATACCCATAGCCAGTCCAATGCAGTCCTTTCTCATCTGCCTCCACTCTACACCAACAATTAGTTCAGTGAGTTCATTCATCTGAAGGATAAAGAAGAGTGTAGTAGAGAGTGATCCTGTCTAGAAGTTTCAACTGTGCTATTTCTTAGCTGGTAACTCAATTAGCCTCTTTGCATCTGCTTTCTAATCTATAAAATGGAGATAATAAAACTTCCTCCAGGGTTACGGGGGAATTTAATGGCATAACATATGCAAAGAGATAGTGACTACTATACAGTAGACATGCAGTATATCTTAATACAGAGCCTGATTCTTGTTAGTCATAATTAATGTTTAGTTTAAGGAATGAATAAGGGTAGTAACATGACTAAGTTTTAATAATCTCACATTAAAGCAAACAAAAAAGTACATCATGAAAGTTTGTTCTGTCATAACTTCAGAAGGTAAATAAGCATTTATTCTTTCCTACATTCACATATAGTTTAGTTAAGTCAAGCCTTTTCAGGGTGTGTTGCCTCTTGATAGTTTCTATCATTTCTTGGGGTTCCTAGGCTCCTCAAAGAAAGAATCAGATGACCAAATATTGACCTTCTCTTCTAAAATTTGGTCAACTAGAGCAACTCCTTGTTTAACTATTTTATATATTGATAGTTGAGAAACCTTTTATTTGAAAAGATTAGTCCTTAGCTGCTAAATTGTGTTTGAAAACACATTTTATCAAGAATTCAAAGCACGAAATGCTTTCAAAACATTTGTGTTTAATTTTCCCAAAGGTGGACTTCGGTTTTTAATAAAAAGCTACCCATTTTTCCTGAACTTTTCCGGTTTACAAACATATATGACTCTGGATAGTTAGACAGACACAATATATACATATGATACTATAGAACCAAAGAAGATTTATAAGGGAATAATCCAATTTAAGTCATAAAAATAGGCAGGACAAAGCAATGTTAGAAATATAAACTGGGCCTCCCTGGTGGCGCAAGGGGTTAAGCACCACACTATGAAGCAATCCACAGGCTCTGCAGCATGAGTTTGATCCCCGACCAGCCAAGGAGCAACCCCATGGCGAAGCAGACCTCTCCTGTCTCACCCCCTGCTCCCCTCAGCAGTGTACTTCAGTCAGTCTGCCTGTTCTGTTCCCCATTCTGTCTCTGGTGAATCCTCTCACCCCACCCCCACCCCCACATCTGGCCTGTACACCAGCTCTTGTATGCAAAAATAAATAAATCTTAAAAAATATATATAAACTGGATTCATTACCTTAATGGTGACCTCTTTTCCTGCAATCTGGACAGTCACAAGAGCCTGAGAGACACGGTTTTCAGTCATCCTCTCCACTCGCACAATCTCCTTAGGAAGCACTGAGGTACTTGAATCTTGGAGTTCAAAACGCTGTAAAATTACAAGAAACCCATGTAATTTATTTTTCATTTTAGTATTAATGTTAGTTATCTAAACGATTCCATCTTAATTAGAAGTGACACTCTATATTATAAAAGTTGAGATAAAAAAATCAATGAGAAATTTTTTCCTATTTTTACAAATACCATTCTACTTATGCCAGTTACTAAAGGTGATATAAAAATAGTACCTAAAATTTACTGAATTACAGGAAATACAATTAATGGATTCTTGACGTGTTAGAAGTTTGCAGCCTGCATTTCTGATAATCAAAGGTTCCAGTTTCCTAGAAAGTGATGATGAGACTCTTGAAAACATACTTAAGTGAAAGGCCTTTGTCAGTTGATTTCTTAAATTAACTAAATTTTTTATTAGTTTCCTATTACACCATTCTGCTGTCTGCTTGTGTGGTTAGCTTAATTGATTACAAGAAATTAAAACAATCAATCTTCCACAGTATCTGCCACAGTGCCCTTTCCATTATGTTCTCAAACAGGATTTAAAAGGCCAATAACACTGATTCTTTCTCCATATAGACCAATTCATTGGATTATACTTCCACCCAAACCAGCTAGTTATAGAAAAAATGTGTAAGAACACAAATAATGAAAATACTAAGCAAAAATTAAATTCTATTCTCTACTACTAGCAGCAAGTTCAACATAAAAAGTTAAGAGGCATAAATTACCTCCCAAAAAATCCTGCCCTAGTTTTAGAACATTATCACTATAGTAAAAGAATTGAACCTCAATGGAAAAAAACCCATCATAGATGGAACTGGGAAAGGGCTGCCCCCACAGCCACAGGTGAGCTGAAAAGCCCCCACAAGCCAGGCCCCATCTGGCTGCCAGTTGGAGCCCAGAGGGGATCCAGCCACCACCAGGGCAGACCACGGGCACAGGGAAGTGCCCTCCTGGCTTGCAATCTTAGAACAGGTATCTTTGCTTCCTGAACTCACCTAGACTGCCTGAAACTATGGTATTGGAACAAGAACAGACACACAGACCAATGGAACTGAAAAGAAAATCCAGAAATAAACCCACAAATTCACAGTCAACTAATCTTTGACAAAGGAGCAAAGAATATGCAATGGAGCAAAGAAAGTTTGTTCAATAAATGGTGCTGGGAAAACTGGGTTGCTATATGCAAAAGAAAGAAGCTTGACTACTACCTCACATCATGCACAAAGACCAACTCAAAATGGATTTAAGAACTAGACATAGGACCTGAAACCATAAAATATATAGAAGGAAATATAGGTAAAACACTACATGACATACACCTCAGCAACATCTTTAAAGACTCATCACCCAAAGCAGTGATAGTGAAGACAAAGATCAACAGCTGGGACTACATCAAATTAAAGAGCTGCTGTACAGCAAAAGAGACAGTAACCAAAACAAAGAGACACCCCACTGACTGGGAGAAAATTTTTGCACACATCGCTAATGATAAAGGATTGATCACAAAAATCTACAAAGAGGTGAGAGACTCAACAAAAACAAAGTAAATAATCCAGTCAAAAAATGGGCAGAAAAGCCAAAAAGGAACTTTTCCAAAGAGGAAATGCAAATGGCCGACAGGAATATGAAAAAATGTTCAGCATCACTTGTAATCAGGGAAATGCAACTCAAAACTACAATGAGATACCATCTCACACCAGTGAGAATGGCACATATTAAAAAAACTAGCTACAATAAATGTTGGTGAGGATGTGGAGAAAAAGGAACTCTCCTGCACTGCTGGTGGGAGTGCAAACTGGTCCAACCACTATGGAAAGCTGTGTGGAGATTCCTCAACCTTCTAAGGATAGAGCTTCCATATGATCCAGCAATTCCACTCCTAGGTATTTACCCAAAGGACACAGAAACATTAATTCCAAAGGGCACCTGCACCCCTATGTTTGTAGCAGCACTATTTACAATAGCTAAGCTTTGGAAACAACCCAAATGTCCAAAAATAGATGACTGGATCAAGAAGATGTGGTACATATACACAATGGAATATTACTCAACAATCAAAAAAGATAAACTCATGCAATTTGCAGCAACACGGATAGAATTGGAAGGGATCATCCTCAGTGAAATAAGCCAGAAAGAAAAAGAAAAATACCAGATGGTCTCACTCATAGCAGGAATTTAGAAAATCTAAATAAGGGTCCAGGAAAAAGACTAATTATAATAAAGTAAAAATCAAAATCAACAAAAGCAACTATAAACCAGAGACACTGTGGGGGTGGGGGTGGGGAAGAGGGGAGGAGGGATTAGGGTCAAAATAAGGGGGGTGGAAATTGTATGGGAACTATAACCAAAATGAAAATGCATACACTGTGCAAAAATGAAAAATGATGTAAAAAATAGATAAAATAAAATAAAATAACTTCAACAGAATGACACAGCTCCAGAAAATAGATTTTTGGGATGAAAATTATCTTCAACCTCAATATTCTAAACATAACAGCCCAATTCAAGTCTTTATTTTAGTCACATTAAGTATTCAAGGTAATCACTTTCTCTTTTCTCCACATCTAAAAAAAAATTCTATTTGTACTACCCAAAAAAAAAAAAAATTACACTTTACACAATTTATATATGCAAACCCCCATAGTATCACACAATGTGTTTGGAACTGGTTTTATGATATAGACAAATACTTACACTGTATTTTAAGTGAAGTTCAATAAAAAAAGTAGTAGGACTTAGTCAAGTAATTAAACTCATTAGAATTTAGAATCTAGAGGCATTACATTCTAAGAAACAGTATTAATTTAGAGGTATATTTTTACCTCAGCTATAGTCATGTCAGTCTAACTTGACACAGGTTCGAAGCTGAAGTACTTACATTCCAGAAATAAACACTAATGCTTTGAACCACTAGCTATACTGGTCATGTCCTTATAAATAATTAAGGTAAAGTATCACAGTAGAGTAAAAATAGTAGACTAGAATACACTGAGATAGTAAAAGAACTAAAGTTACAAGGTGAATAATCTTTCAGATCTGGGAAATTTAGATAATTGTTAATTAAAATGGAAACTGAGGAGTAAAATAGATATATAATTATACATTCTATGCTAGCAAGAAGGAAAAAGCCATTTGTTTACCTTACCATTTTATACTTTAAAGTATTTACTATGAATTCTTGCATTTCAATCAAACAAGCAATTTAATTCAACATTTTTTGATACACTTTCTTTGGAATTATATTGTTTGAACTGTGGAGTATAAATAAAAGGAAAAGTAAATCTCATGGTTGTTGTTCTATAAGGCTTCGATATTCAACTTCCTAATTCCCAATCTTCTTCCACCAAGTTATTTGTTTTCTTTGTGAATTTTTTAGGCTACTGAGCACTAACAGTGAAGTTTTCCATACCATACTTTCTGCTACTCAACAAATATGTAGCCCAGTATGCTTTTCCCAAAGTCCTTTGGCAACTCTCTTAGAAGTCAATCTGCGCCCATCCATCCCTGTATCATCAGGTAATCTAGTTTGCCTTCTCAACCCACAACAAGAGTTACCAGGCACATATTCTTTTCATTGTTCACTGGAATGTAAGACTCATTAGGGCAATATCAGGTGCATATATTTGGTTTATTTAAAATCTCTGGAACCTAGAAACACACATGGGACATAGTCAATGGTTAATAAGTGTTCATTAAATGAACAAATGAAATCCTTTTTCCTTAATTCTCAAAATCATCTAGACTTTAGTCAATTCTTACTTCTTTTGCCACTAAATAGAAAGGACTTCTGCTTTAACTATGAGTGGATGGAAAGCCACTAAAAGTCTCCTTTTTTCATCTCAGTTTAAGATAAAGCCTGATTGCTGAGTAGAACATACATTCTTCCATTGTTTCAAGCCAAAGCACAAGGGTACTCTGGAAATGTTTTTTTTTTGTAACTCCCGCGGGCCTTATTTCCATAAATCTTTTCCAGATTTATTACAGATTTCATCCTTTTTTCCCCATAAAGATGCTCGTTCCCTATTCTAAGAAACAAAAAGCCTTCCCCCCCTCCATAATTGAGATAACTTTAGTTTACAACACTGTACAGGCTTCAGGTGTACAATTATCACCTCAGCAGCTGTATATTTATCACACCATACCCACCATCAAATCTAAGGAATTGTTTTTTGTTTTTGCGTTTTTCACCTGCATTTGTTTTTCTTTTTATTTCACAAATAAGTGAAATCATATGGTATTTATCTTTTTCCTTCTGAGACATTTCACTTAACAAAATCCCATCAAAGTCCACGTGAATGCAAATGGCAAGATGTCATTGTTTTAATGGAAAAAGCCATTTCTTGTTTTTCTACATTATCCTGGAGTGTTAGCTTATTATCAGACTTATTTTACAAGTAGTAGATAATTGCTGTTTCAATTTCCTCACCTCTGATTTAATATTTGACCCACTGATTTTTTTTCTTACATTCTTACCACTCTACTAACACTGCTTTTGGCAAATCCACCGATAATATTTTATTTGCCAAATTAATTTGTTCTCCTCCTTCAAAATATAACACAACTCCAACTACTTCTTGCCAGGCTCAGAGCTAATCAAAGCGACCAATTCTCTCAACTAAGTTATAAACACCACCCAATAAGTGATTTTCCCCTGCATTCACCCTTCCTACCAGTCTATTCACTACCATCAGGAAAATCTGTTAAAATGTTCAATCATATAATATATTCCTCTGCTCACAAACTGATTGATAAACCACCTCATTCAGATTGAAAGCACAAGTTCTCAGTGATCTGACTTTATTTTCTGACCTCACCCCCTTCTCACTTCTTCACTCACTATGCCTCATCATATTACTTTGCTGTTCCTGGGACATCCCACATTACTCCTATTTCAAGGTTTTTACAATGGTTTTTCCCACTGCCTCAAATGCTTTCCACCTAAAGGACATACTTTTCCTCCTTCAGGTATTTATTCAAACATCATTTTCTCTGTGAAGGCACCCATTCCTCAGTTGATATACTTTATTT